CTCTGATGACGACGAGCCACTGCTTGTCACCACCGCCAAAAGTCGACTCGGTAACAATGTCAACCGCCGGTTTGAACTGGACTCAACACGTTCAACAAGTATCTATGCCATGGCCACAGCGCTTGATCCCCGCTTTCGCGACTTGAAGTGCATGACCAATGCATGCAGAGCTGGCGTAAAGGATGCCCTGATCAGTGCAGCTGCTGTTGATTGTCAGTCCGATGACGCGTGCCAGGTATCCTCTCCTTCAGCAAAACGCCATTGTCCGGACGCTCGCTCAGCAGCATCAGTTCTCGATGATCTCCTGGGAGGTGAGAACGAAAATGATGAGTCAATCCAGGCAGAGGTTGAATTGTTATTCAACGAGAAGGTCCTCCGCCGAGCTGTGGATCCGTTGGTGTGGTGGAATGCTAACGCCAGCCGCTTTCCCCGAGTTGCTGCACAAGCCAAGCGCTACCTGTGTATTCCGGCAACCAGCGTACCATCGAAGCGGGTCTTTTCATTTGCCGGCTATCTGGTGGACAAGCGGCGTTGTTCGTTGTCGAGCACTAGCATCGATGCACTGATCTTCCTCCATTGCAATGCACACCTACTGAGGATCAGGAAGGAAGGCATTGTACGAGCATTACCTGCCATGGTGCTAGCCCCTACCGCTGAAGATGATATGCCGCCTCTGCCCAGCTTGCAGTCATGAATGATTCATGATACTTTGGACGGCAAGCTGGAATCATGAATAGAATGTGCACTTGATTGTTGCTATTGAGTTATTATTTATTTAATTATCAACTGTCGCCATCTTAACATGTCCCTGTTACATATTCTGTTCCGGTCATAAAATATAGCTATATCCAGGTGGCTTTGCAATGAAATTTTTTATTAAAGGATATTGAATTGTGTAAATGGTGTGCAAAAATTGGGTACGTGGTACTGACATATATGCGCATGTGTGCTTATAGAGTACTCGATACGCGACTCGATAGTGACAGTACTCGCTCGATAGCTTATAGAGTACTTGTTCCAGCACTAGTTTTGTCCGACCTGCCCTGGAACATGCCACCTCGGCCTGGGCCTGTGCCATCACCAAAGCTGAGCTGGAGCGTTTAAATATTTTACAAGCCAAAGTAGCTAGGAAGTATTTGCTACGTAAAAAAGTCAATGTAGATTGATGCGAAAAGAAATCCCAGTTAAACGCCCTTTGTGACTTAGAGTCGTTGCACTTTCGCAGACAAATATCAGCTCTTGTTACTCTATTTAACCCATTCAGCGCTCCTGGGCCTTGCCTATGGTACTCTGCATATAAATGCTAAAAACAGGGCCAATAACAAGGTCTAAAACTCCAGGGTTCTGGCAACTGGGGTCCTAAAATATTTTGGAAATCATTGCCAAGACTATCAACCACAGGGTGACAGAATCGATACAGTCCCCAAAAAGAATAGCGCATCACAACAGGGGACGCAAGTTTGCTCAAGTTGCGTGAAATACGCCAAATGCGTGAAATTGCAGCTGAAACATCGCTGAAAAGGGAAGAAAAAAAGACGCGTAGTGTTTCCAAGCGCGATTCGCACACACAAACTATCATACAAGAGGCAGGATCAAGATCCAATTGACTAACAGTGCTTTTACACACCTGAGAGTGCCAGAAATCGCTATTTATCCCATGACGTCTATAGACGTCATCCGCGCATGGGGTCATTTTCAATGACGTCTATAGACTTCATCAGCGTTCAATGGGTTAACCTTATACATATATCTCCCGGACATCTTCAACATTTTCACCTTTCACTTTCCAAGAAGATCAAACAAACAAAAAACAAAACAAAATTCATGGTTCGCGAGAGACTCGGTTTCTCTATATAGAGGCCAAGTTTTCCGCATCCGTAGGAACGCCACCACTCTTCAAGGAACAAGACGCAGATGCAGCTCCTAAAGCGGTGGGAGGTGAGTAGATCAGCACACCAGCATGTGGTCAAAGACCGAAAATCCCATTCACTGCATCCATGTTTTCCTGGTGCCAGGCCACGAGTTCCCAATTAACTGTGGGTCGCAGCTTGGCTGGGAAAAATCCTTCCGCTTCCAAGCAGGACTTGAACCTGGTACCCTCTGTTTCTCAATCATGGTCTTAGACCATCTCACTATGCGCGCAACAAACTTAACATCAATTATCACGATGTTCGTTTTTCTTCGCTCTTTTCCAACAAAGCCGCAATGCTATGGAATTGCCTACCGCCTTCTTTTACCTCTATAACCAGCCTCCTGAATTCCAGTATTCTCTCTATCAGCATTTTCGCCGATACATTCATTCCACTGACGGTATCCCAACTCCTTACTTACCAGATGTTGTACGCCTAGATCTATTTCCTTAGCCTATCCTTGATTAACTGCTCCCTCTACATAAAGTTGTCATTTCATTCTTCTTGCAGGAGATCCCCTCGACAGGCGCAAAGCCTTTGGAAAATCCTTAAAAATATAAATAATACAAAATACAAATAATTAATATATATAGTCTTGATGAACTGTTAGTCATAACTCGTAACATAGTATTATTTCTTTTCTCTTAAAAAAACGATTGAATCAATGACCTACTTCTATTGTTTGCCCATATTTTTAGCCTGCCTTCCTCGACAAAATGATCAAATGGAGTTTAAAACAATGGCTGATGATATCTCTTGTCGATATGATGGTAAGCACTGTGGAGCAGAACCAGTGTGCGGAAGCACACAAAGGCAAGCAAACATATTCAGGGGCTGGATTCTTGATAATCACTAGGATCTTTACAAATACCCAAACTGATTTTAAATCAGTATAATTATATTGCTCCTCGAGGAGCCGAGGAGCTTGATTTTAAGGTAGCTCGGGCCGTTATCGCGAAAAATATCGGCGGTCAAAACCACTTTCTGTCCGATTTTTGTTCAAAGTTTCAAGCATCATGAGGGCAAGCTGTTACTCCCAAAATTTCGCTAGTGTGCAAGCCACGTTATTATGTCAGGAAATAAGAGAAAAACCTACTTTTACAAACGGGAAATCGCTTTTCATTTGTTTCAATTTGGCAGGCTTGCACATGTATTAAACTATGATATGAGTACATTTCAATTCTTTCTTTGGAATTCAGGACCACTAGTATCACACATTGTTTAGGCAAATCCACTTGAATCAATTACGAGAGATGATCATTTCTTCGCATATTTCTGTAAACAGTGGGTAAACGAGTCCAATGAGCTAACATCATTTTGACATAACCGCATGATACTGATGTAGTGCGATGCAACTAGCAAGAAAAATTCAATCATTTTCGGGCCAACTTTGCAAAATTTAAATTTCAAAGCATTCTGCGCACCGTATCGTATCGGGGTTCAGAATACCAGTTTCACCTCCTAACGCAGAAGCGAGTACTTTCAACCAGTGTATCTTTTGGCATATAAAGCTACTCTGACATGCTCTGATACTATGGGAATTACTAATATGATTACATGAAGCAACAGATGGAAGTTGGAAGCATTTTATTGTCCTCAATGCAAACCTGTCTCTTTCTTAGAGAACGCCTTGTTCGGGCTACTTCGAAGGGCCATAACCCCTCCAAAGTGCCCCATTACGTACCCTAATACCTGTACAGTCGTCCCTCTCTAATCCGGCACTTGTTTATCCGGAACCCTTGCCAACCGGCGCACTTTCTGACGAAACCGATTTTTTTCGTTCAATTCCTGCATCTTAATCCGGCACTTGAATTCCGCCTCCGGCAGTGACTTTTTGAAACGAATCGCTCAAACTGCACGTAGTTTGATTTCATAATTCGGCAGTCGTAAATCGCGTACCGTACAGGTGCACTCCTTGCCAGGCCAGGCCAGGCTAGGCCGGTCTGGTCAGTGCCGCGCGTGCGCGGGGCAACTTCAGAGTACAGTTCAGTTGACAACTGTACTCGACCTCGCGCGGGAAAGTTCAGTTCGGTTGGTTGTTAGAACTTTTCCGAACCCTAACTCAATTTATACAAAGAGAAAGACCAAGGAACTACAAGTTACACTATAATGTCCACTAACATCACCAGTTACTAAACAATCAGCTTATGCGATAACATTGCACGACACTGACCGACGGTACTGGCGTTCTACAACTAACTACAACCTTCGACCTGCATGATGTCGACTGCTTGCGTGGCCTTCTCAAGAGGGTCAATGTTGTCCAGGAGACAACGGGTAAGCAGTCAACCATACTTTCTTATTCTAGCAAGGAGTAGTGTCCTGCCAATTTTCAGGTGTGTGTGTGCGTGTGTGTGCAAGAGTAAATGTGAACATGTTCTCTGTTTTACTTTATCACTTTATCACTGTGTATATTCCTCGAGAAAAGTTGAGAATATAAAGCCGTGCACCAAATACTTGTGTCAACACGGAAAAACTCTGCGTGTATGCAATTGGGTAGGGCCGGGTCAGAGGGCAGGATTTCTTAATCCAGCACCCTCGTTAATCCAGCAGAAAACGCCGTAGCAAAAGGTGCCGGATTAGAGAGGGACACTCATAGCATTGTAAAAAAAAAGGTGTCAAACTGGTGAATTTTCGGAAAAAGGATTTCGGCATGAGCCACCTTAAAAACTTCTCTTTGCTTTTCGCTTTCACACTCCGGGAACCACTCGTCTTCCTTGTCATTGGTATCTTCCAGCATAGTCTTGGAGCCAAGTCAGCAAAAGTCCAAGGAATAAGAAGTTAGTGTGACACCCTGTCCAGGAAGGATTTTTTGATGGATTTGGAATGGCACAACAACCAGCAAATGACACCTGAAAACCAGAATGTGCCAAAGTTGTCCGTTCAAGAGTTATGGCCTATGTACTAAAATTGCCATGGTTACCATAGCAACGTACATGTAAATTGCCTCTTTTTAGCGCGAGAGACATGCAATATGGGTCAAATAGATAATAAATGGCTGTCAAAGTCATAAGTGAAGATAGAAGTTCCTGATGAGTCTTGTTGGGATGTCGTCAAACCCAGGGGCTTTGCAAGGATTAAGGGCTCCTAGGAGCTGTTCTACCTCGGCGGGTGTGGTTGTGCTTTGGGCAAGCTCTCTCTCGCCGGATGTTGGTAGAAGGATGTCGGGGACTGGCTCGTTGTCAACTGAGACAGACTTCTTGCTTTCTGAAATGAAGAAGCTGTTGAATGCTTCTGCCTGATCTAAGTTCGATGTGAGCTTCCTGCCATCATGGTTCAAGGCTGGCATTTCCTTTCTTGGTGAAATTCGAAGGGTCTTCATAAGTTTGTAGAGGTTTGGGCGGTTTGTATGGGTTTGGTCACAGTGGTTGTCGGCATTGGCTGGTTTATGAACGAATTTGGACTTGGCACTGCGGAGAAGAGTTGTTGTCTTGTTTCGCCAAGTTGTGAACTGGTCCCAGTCTTCAGAAGTCCGTGTCCGGAGGTATTTCCTGTATAACCTGTGCTTTGTACGGATATTATTTAGCAGATCAGGTGTCATCCATGGGCGTTTTGGAGACACTGCAGATGATCTAGTCAACCGGAGTTGAGTGCAGAACTGGTGTGCGGTGTGAAGTAGAGTGTCACGCCAGAGCGACCACAGTTCGGTCAGCGAATATGACGGCAAGTCAATGTCGGGTGGCAGCAGTTGAGTATACGCTAGCGCTTCTCTCAGGGCGCCAACGTTCTCTGAATTCCAGTTCCAGGTCCAAGGTGGCAGGTTACGTCTGCCACGCTCATCTGCTGGTGGCTGCATAGAGATAGTTCTCTGGATTGCTAGGCGATCTGAACACCCAAACGGGGCTCTGGAAGAAAGTGTGACCTCCTCCAGAGGAAGATTGGAGATGACTAGATCGAGGCACGAATTTAGATAGCCTCGGCAGATGTGGGTGGCAAAGTTTACATGCTGATGGAAACCATATGCATCAATAAGATAGCTAAGTGCGTCACCAGCTCTGTCTGTGACATCAGAATCCAACCAAGAGCTGTTCTTGGAATTTAGGTCGCCGGGGAGGATGAATGGCGCTGTGGTGTTACATTTCCCGAGACACAATTCAAGTTTGCGGCAGAATAAATTCGGTTCAGAGTTTGGTGGTCTATACGTGCATCCCACGGTGACTGTACGATCTGAGAGTGTAAGCTCTACCCACAGTGACTGGAAGCTTGGCATGACGACTGTTGTTAGGCGTTATGGCAGGTAGGGGCATGTATGTATAAAGCAACACCTCCACCCATCGTTTTTGTTCTGTCCTGACTGTAGAGTGTGTAATCTGGAATGTCATAGAATGAGTCTGGCTCCATGGGGTTTGCCCATGTTCCGCAGACAGCAATTAGTGTGGGCGTGATGCGTGGGATAGTGGGTATGAGCTCGTCCATATTTTTGCCCAAGCTCCTAGCATTAAATGTTAAAAAAACTCATTCCTAGGAAAATTAGGTAAAGAAATACAACATGCTGGAGCCGAAAGAAGACATAGGACAAAAGTATAATATTATGCAAGAAGGCGAAAATGGTGTAAGTGCGAGGATATTACGTTCCGTTCTGTATGTGTGGATATCTTGCACTCACCTAGGACTGTCTGGGTTCGCCTTTTCAACTTCTTCTTGTTTCTGGGTGCATTGGCAGTGGCCCCGCGAGGTCTTTCAGGTGTGACACTGCTTCGAGGGCTTCGAGGGCGTTTGGAGCTATGTACTTGACAACCGTCTGAGTCCATGTCAGAGTCGCTGCCGGACTTGGTGAGGCGGCCTTGTGACATTGACTGTGCGAGGTCACCAATTGCCTTAGCTGGCAGCTGGAGCTGTGTTTGCGAATCTTGTTGTAGGTTGAACGGTCTGGGCGGTGATTGGTTGAAGTCAGGTAATGGGAGTTCCTCAGATTCTGATGAGCAAGCTGATGCAGCCTGATTTTCATCCGTGCTGCGACCTGGGACTTCCTTGTTAGGGCGAGACAGTGTGCTCATTCTTCTTCTTCTTCTTCTTCATCTTTCTAAATTTCAGCAGCAATATTGCTTGCACGTGAAAAGTTTTTAATTTGACTGTAGTGGCATATCCCTGGACATTTAAATTAATTGTTTTATTTTTGAACAACCCAGCCCTGTGTTTATTGCTCATTATGTAGCATATACTATAACACGTGTAGTTCCCCTCACTGTTTATTTCTATTGCATGATTTGCATCAGGAGATCCCCTCGACAGGCCATCGCCTCTGGGAGATCGTTTAATAAAGATTATTCCCGTAGCTATGCAGAAGACGTTACTTCAGTAACGTCTGGCGCTAGCCAGGGTCCACACAGCTTTAATTCCCATAGCTATGCAGAAGATGTTACTTCAGTAATGTTTGGCGCTAGCCAGGGTCCACACAGCTTTAATTTGGTGTTCTTTTGTGTGTTTGTTTGTGTGTTTGTGTCACGCCTGGCGCTATCCCGTATCTGTCCCGTACCGTACCGTACCATCAAACACACCTGGCCACATACAGCTGGCCGCACTATTCAAATAGGGCTTTCAAACGCAAGATCATAACGTGAAGCAACTTGGAAGAATGAGTATGGATGCGAAGTGTATGGGGGAATGCATGTAGGGCGATAGTGCGGGTTCGAATCCCAGGTAATGCCTGAAAAAATAGGAAAATTGAACAATTTATAACATCCCTATTCTTTTTTGCCATCATCAAGGCGGTAGATGGTGTCGTATTACCCTCGACCGCACCTGTCCCGTACCTGTTGCGTACCGTACCGTGCAATCAAAGACGGCTGGCCACAATGCATATTCAAATAGGGCTTTCAAATACAAGATCATAATGTGAAGCAATTTGGAAGAATTAGTATTTATGCGAAGTGTACCGGGGTTCCGGGGATGCATGCAGGGCGATAGTGCGGGTTCGAATTCCAGGTTATGTCTAAAAACAAAAAGTAGAAATTTATAAGAATTTATAACATCCCTATGCTTTTTTTGTCTAGGTCATCAAGGCAAAAAAGCATGACGTAGGGCCCTGAGCTTCCAAGCTCTCTCGTTTTATTATATTCTTCTTCTTCTTCTTCTTCTCTGTTGCCCTTACCCACCTTACCCATGGAGGGTAGTGGCGCTCCTACGGATGCGGAAAACTCGGGCCTCCAGCCCAGTCTCACGCAAACTGTGAATGTTTTCATTGAAGTGCAGAGTGTTTCATGTTTGGAGAGGCTCCTCGCCAGACATGTCGAAAATGTTCTAAGACCAAGGTTGAAATAGTGGTAATTTCTTTTCTTGTTCTTGTTCTTGTTCTTCTCTGTTGACCTTATGTCCAGGTCTCAACTGCAGTGTACCAGTTATACAAAATGGTATGAGTAATGCTTCACTCATTCAATATGGCGCTACTGTTCAGTTTACATGTGAGCATACATACTTTCTGTGGGGGAGTTCATCAGCTACATGCAACAGTAATGGTACATTGAGCTCAGTGCCGATATGTTATAGTAAGTGTAAATTACTTTCTTTACTGGAAAACCTGGTGTAAGCGACCTCTTGGTTTAGCGACGATGTGCTCTTCACAACCGCTTTTCCATGCACCAACAGTTCTACACAGACGCTGTGGGACCTGGTTCTAAAGACCACCTGGCTTTAATGACCGGTTTTGTTTGCCCCATGGGGTGGTCATTTAAAACCAGGTTTTACTGCACAGCTAGCTAGTACATGAGCTGTGATCAGATTAAACCAACCAGTAGCTTTTGCCCCAAAGTAGAGCAATCCTGTTTTGTAGAGTTGCGCCGAACTGGTGGTTTTCAAAGAAGAAAGGAGAGGGATCCTTGCTGATTCGAGTCTCTCGTGTAATCCCAATGCGGCTCACCATCAGGTCCAGATCATGTGGCCTTGAGGTTTGGTACTTTGCCTCAAGAAGGCTCCAACATCCTACGCTGTGCGCGCGGTGTGGCACTCTGCTTTTCGTCAGGCGCACAAAAAGAAAGCGGGAAGCGTTTTCAAATTGTGAAGGGGGGGGGGGAGGCTGTTGGGTGGAGTTGATATGAAAATGTCCGTTATTGTAACAAGCGCTGAATCGATCCCGTAAACCCTGAGTGTACCAGCACAGAACAAATGTGTGAGATGATAGCGCATGCCTGGTGTCATGGTGTGCAAGCCCAACTTTTAAGTCAGGTGCAAAGCAAAAGGAATTGATCCTGTATTCCTGAGCCTTTCACAATCAGCAGAAACACTGATATTGACTAAAATTGTTGAAATTGAATATTAATTTTACTGCATGACTGGACTGATGTCATCATGTACTATGGCACTGCTGGTTTACTTGCATTTTAGCTGTTTGGCCGGAATGGATGCTGCTCTGCGGATTTTGGTGAACTTTACCTGCGCTCGTAGTACAGCGGAAAAGGAACATACATACATGTGTGTTTTGTTCCCGGTTTGAAAGTCGAGAGACGACTTTCGTGACTTGGAAAAGGAATAGAGAGCTTCAAAGGTCCGTCTCTAGCTGATTTTTCGAGTGCTCCTGGTGTATTTTGATGGTAATAGAAACTTGTCAGACCAAAGTCAACGCGGCGATGGGCGTACAGTTCTCTTGTGGATGTTTTTGGTTGTTTCGTTTCGTATTTATGCCAGTATCGTGATGGTAAAGTGGAGAGGATGACTCTCTCCCTCTAGATTTCATTCGGCCACCTTTGCTTCGTTCTCGGTGAAAAGAGATGCTGGAAAGAAGGTCGACTCACAAAAGTATGTTGATTTTCAATGTACCTGATGACACTCCATTATTCACTATGTTAGTTTAGATGTGAATTGACCAACCCCGAAGCCCCCTCCCGCAATCCACTGAATTCACACACATGTATGATCGCACGTGTGATCAGCCATGCCCCCCCTCCCTCCCCCCCCCCCCCCCCTCTACCGACACACAGACGCACACCCAGGTGGTTTTTGCAGGATCCTTGCACACATGGTTTTTGTTCTCATGGTCTGTGTTTGTACCTTATCTCTTTTTAATGACTGAAGGGCTGACCGGCATAAGAATTTGCAGGCCACCAAACATTATCACAAGAATAACTGAGAGGCTATTCAATTACACTTCAGCAAGAGCACTGTGTAGCAGTCACAATGGCACAATTCTCTCTGAAGCGTCGTTCCACGATGGGTGCTCAATTGGCTTGACAGACCATAACAGAGTGGCGTGGAGAGGATTACCTGACAAGAATAACAAGGCGTTGACTACATATGGTGTCCCAGTAGACCTGTCCCTCCGTTTACGCGTAGTGTGCGAGATACGTAAGTCTACCTTCATTCTGTTTAGAACAGAGACTTCTTTCTTTACACGTACAAGCTCATAGAAGAGCTCATAACGTGGTTATAAAACCCTTTACGAGCCGTAAATAGAATAAATGCATTGCATTTGAGGCATTGGATTGTGACAGAGTTGGAGAACGGCAACTGGCAGAGCAGAAACCTCAACATCAGGAAACACCATCACACGAATCATTGCGTCCACGCACACCAAACAAAAGAAAAGAGAGCACGAAGTCGAAATGCAGGATCCGGGCTGTTGTTGTTTCAAATCTTTGAATTGAATAATTATAGTAAGATTAGTATGATGCAGGAGGTTCATGGCTAGCAGTGATCAAACTAGATGTACGGGTGAACGTGGCTCGTGCACGAGCAGATTGATTTGAGCAGCATGGTTGATATATGGCCTGCGATCTGCTAAAACCACCCTTCGGTGCTGTGTAATTTTTCGAAGAAAATGATGAAAACGTCAGCACGTCTCGATTTTCTCATCATCGCAGGTGACAGTCATGGCTGAAGGAGGACGAAGGCGCTTGTAGGCACAAATTGTTGTCGAATTCTCGGCAGCGGAGTCGTCAGCACTGCTAAATGACGAGAGATCGTTCTTCGGGTGGTCAAGATTCTGACGACTAGAGCGATGACGAATCGACCGACGCCTCTCCGCTCGTGACCCTGCCAATCGCGCTTGCGCTACAGCCAGCACAAGCCATCGCCGCCGGCGGACAGAACCAACCTAAGAAATCCCGTGCCCAGGCGGCGCCCAGTACTGTTGAAGAGGTGCGAGTGGACAAGGGCTGCAGTTGTGCCGGTGACAACTGTTTCAAGAACGTGTCACCGGATACTCTACTCACTGCACGCAACACAGCGCTCGCAATGACGAACACAGAGCTGTACTGTTACGTCGCTGGAAAGCTCGATGTGTTTAGACGACGCGGTGCAGTTACTTCTCACCATGGAAGCATTGCACATCGGATGCAGCGCGGAGAAAGGTTCCGATCCACTTATTGCTATGAAGTGGATGGTGACGAAGTGTGCCAGACTGTTTTCATGTATGCACATTATGTAAAGGAGTGGAAGCTAAAGGCGGATGTCTATGAGCATGCAGTTGCTCCCCATCAGCACACACGTGACATGAGGGTTCTTTGCCCTGGATTGCACTGCCTGCAGATGAAGTGTCTTTACATCAGGCAGTTCATCCACCACTATGGCGACATCAATGGACTTCCCCTGCCTGCTGCCCCCAGAGGCCCGCTCCTACTAACCTGCCAGTGCCATGTGCTACTACCAAGAGGCATGTGCATACTGAATATAATCATCAAGGCTGGAGGAACAGCAGCATTCACGACATTCCTGAAAATATGGAGCAGTGAGTGCAGTGATGTGATAATTATGAGACCAAAAGAAGATGTGCGCGGTGTATGTTTCGATCTGCAGTCTCAGATCGTAAGGGCAAGAACGGCAAAAACTCGCTTTTAAGCACACTGACACACTCAAAGCTCATATTGAAGAAGCTAACGTGGCCCGTGACCTTTATCAAAGTGTATTACTGCCTGGCATCTGATCATCTGCCAGTGACGCTCGAGACAGCTGGAATCTCACCGCAACGTACAAAGTACTTGCAGAAACAGGTTCGTCAGCACTGCCACCCAGATATCACCTGCCCAGCACCAGACCAAGCAGAGCCAATGTCCTAATTATTTGTTCGGAACATGTTGTTGGTTTGTTTGTTTGTATTCTTTATTTAGAGTGGGAAGTCCAAAACAGGCCCTAGCCTAATAACAATGGTCCCACTAGTGAGGGAATGCTGTATATCTGTGCATAAGGATCAGTGAGTGTAACAGCAACTAGTAGGGAAAGAAAAAGAGAGAAGAACAACAACTCAAAACAGGAGTTGCGACTTGCATAGGGAGAAAATAACGTATAGAGCAGTGCATACAGCATTTGCAAAAAGGCTTATTTATCTGGTAAGCAAAAAGGCAAGAGCCATTGACTTAAAGCGATTGCGTTTTCTTTCTTGCCTGACCGCAGCGGGTAGCTGGTTCCATAAGATTGTCCCAGCATAGGTAACACGTTTGGCAAGATATGCAGTTCGGCTGGCTGGGACAATCAGTAAATTGCTGTGCCCACCATGAGTTTGAGCGGAATTACTGCGGCTGAAAAAGTTAGCGAACAACATGCTGATGTTAGAGGAGTCATGGAGACAACGCCAGATAAAAACCAGAAGGTGCATGTTGGCGTATGTGGTCAATGTTTGGATGTTCATGTGTGTAACAATATTGCTTGTGGGTGTCCCGGGAGGTACCCGACAGACTGTGCATACAGCACGCTTGAAGAGCCCATTAAGCCGTCTACTTTGATACGCCGTGAGAAATGGTAAGTAAGCAGAAGCAGCATACATTAAGTATGATAAAATGAAAGAACGAAAATAGGCTATGCGACATTGAAAAGGCAGGAACGTAGCGTATCGTCTGAGCACGCCAACTTTCGACGCGACGCCCCGTGCGACATGGTCGAGCATGGTGTTCCAGCGCATGTCCGCATCAAGGTGGAGACCTAAATATTTCGCAGAGCGCACAGTTGGCAGAGGCAGTCCATTACAATGCACTTGCAAGTCAAATGTTTGAGATCATACTGGCGATATCGACATGATCTGTGTCTTCGTTTCATTCAAGATGAGACCGCGGTTCCTAAGCCAGTCGGCAAGGTGCTGGACAGCACTTGAGAGATTTTGGGACACCTCATCTGTGCTCATGCTGCTGGATCTAATTGAGATATCGTCCGCAAACTGCAGGGTCGCAACGTTGTAAGGTGACAGCTCTTTTGCAATGTCACGGACGTAGAGAACAAACAACAGGGGCCCGAGAACTGAACCCTGTAGTTCTCCGGAGAAGCTGGTGTATGATGAGCTCTGTACCTGACCGACTTTGACATACTGTGTCCGATCTGAGAGGTAGTCTGCAAGCCATTGCAGCACCGTTCCACCGATTCCGACCTCGAATAGGTCCTGAATAAGGGTTTGGTGCTTCACCTTATCAAATGCTTTTGACATATCTACGAAAGCAACATACATAGTAGAATACAGCAAGCGAGTTTCAAATTGCACACCTGATGAGCCGTCACGATCCATACGGCGAAACGTTCGTCGTGTGAAACAACTAGTTTTGTGGTCAACGAGTCTATCCCAATGTCATGCATGAGGAGTACTGTAGGAGTTTGACTTTCGGCTTGTACAATTCGTTTTCGCAAAGCTTCCCCTTTCTTTACTTATCTTTGATATTTATGACCCACCCAAGTTGGGTGGTGTGCTGCTTTGCTGCTTCGAATTGTAGCTAGACCGCTTTGTCAAATATCATACTGGTCTCGTCATCGTCCAGTAACAATCGACATTCTTTGTTTCGTTGGGACTATAGCTTTTGCTCGTTTTCGTGGCGCTTGCCTTCCCCTCTTTGGTATTTCCATAACCTTGAACCTTCCAAGTTGGAAGGCTGTCGGTTTGCACTACGGAGATGTGTTGAAGCTAGGTGTCAGCACGTCGAATGTCTCAGTACTCTTGTCAGTTTTGTGCCTAGTTATTGCACTTTCTGACTGTATATAGTATCCAGTTGCAGTGATGGAGAGTTACTCTTAACTCGTATCCATATGTCCTTTTCCTTTCCACATCTATTTATGGCTCAACATCAGAGTTTCAAATTGCACACCTGATGAGCCATCACGAACCATACGGCGAAACGTATGCCGTGTGAAACAACTAGTTTTGTAGTCAACTAGTCCATCACAATGTCATGCATGAGGAGTAACTTACTGTAGGAGTTTAGATTTCGGCTTGTACAATTTGTTTTCGCAAAGCTTCCCATTTCTGTACTTATCTTTGATATTTAGGACCCACCCAAGTTGGGTGGTGTACTGCTTTGCTGCTTCGAATCGTAGTTAGACCGCTTTGTCAAATATCATACTGGTCTCGTCATCGTCCAGTAACAATCGACATTCTTTGTTTCGTTGGGACTATAGCTTTTACTCGTTTTCGTGGCGCTTGCCTTCCCCTCTTTGGTATTTCCATAACCTTGAACCTTCCAAGTTGGAAGGCTGTCGGTTAGCGCTACGGAGATGTGTTGAAGCTTGGTGTCAGGACGTCGAATGTCTCAGTACTCTGTCAGTTTTGTGCCTAGTTGTTGCACTTTCTGACTGTATATAGCATCTAGTTACAGTGGTGGAGAGTTACTCTTAACTCGTTTCCATAATGTCCTTTTCCTTTCTAATAATAATAATTAACATTCTACTCCCCATGCTAGAGTTTAGAGTAGACACACACGCGTGCAGGACGCGACACACCAAAAAACACAAGAGTGAGTTTGGAAGAATGGGAATGTCGGGCAGAGTAGCTGGCCTGAATTGAGTGCGCGTTAACGAATCCAGTGGTCGGCCTACCGAGGGCAGGAGCTGTATATGACCAAGTGGGTCGGCCTGCGCTGAGCAGGAGCGGTTTGTGACCCATGCAAATTGGTGGGTCGGCCTGCGTTGAGCAGGAGCGGTTTATGACCCATGCGAGTTTAATAGTAGTGCGCGAGAGGCCAGTTACGGAGGAGTGCCCGCATCCGTGTGTTTCAAAATATGTGGAATGGAGTGTAAGAGTAAGAAATGGGATGAGGAGGGTGGGTCAGAATTTGAAAGCTGACTACAGGCAAGGAAACTGGAAAGACAGCAAGCTCTGTTGTGCGCACAGGAAATCTGTGCATGCTCAGAGCGTGGGCATGTGGTCTATGATACACAGCAGCATGTAGAGAGAGCAAGATTGTGCACACACGCAAGGTGGGTTATGCAACCCGTTATAAAGGCCAACAGCGAAGCAATGGTACGTGACTGTTAACAACGGTTAATTCCTACGTTAACCGAACATTTAACATTCTACTCCCCATGCTAGAGTATAGAGTAGACACACACGCGTGCAGGACGCGACACACCAAAAAACACAAGAGTGAGTTTGGAAG